TGTTTCAGCTGGCAGGACTGGCCTAGGGATATTTTAAATTGGATTTTAATCAATTTTTAAAATAAGAAAAGGCCTATTTAAATATATCTTTTAATTTATTTTAAATTTTGTATATTTGTATCAATTGCTCTGTTTTTTAACTGGCTGTAAGCCGCCCTGAGTCCACCAGGAGAAGGGCGGGATATAAATACAATAAACTCTAAACTCTAAACTCTAAACATGCTAGAGGTACTATGTGTACACACTATATCAGAAATGTATCAAATGATTTTAACCAATAAAAGAACTCATTCCAAACCGAGTACTGTATGTTTGAACTATATATAGAGGAATTCTCCACCTTTTAAAGCTGCTTTTCTTTTGGCTGAATGGCTAAAGTCTGTTTGGGCAAGGCACACTAGGCTATAAGGACATGGTGCTAATGTTTAAGGCTAACAAGGTGGTGGTCTCTTTCTTTTGACAGGTCCCTGCAGCCTACCCAAGTCTGCTTTAAGTGGCATGAACCGTTTGTTCTTGAAGCAGCTTCAGAGAATACTCTTCCATGGTCTTTGCAGGTTCTGAAAAATCCCCGAAAGCACACCATGTCATTACGCAGAGGTTGCATGAGAACACACCTTTCTCATGCGACTTCCAGAGGCTGCATGAGAGCAGGCCTCTGACCCTCTGAAATTTGCACAGGAATGGGGCATGCTTTCAAGAATTGTTGTCAGGTGATAGTGAATCCTGTATGTCACCCAAAATGCGGTGTGTTGCCTTTGACACACTGTTATAGGTCTAACATCACTAGCTGAGAGCCATTTTAGAGAGGAGCTGCAGAATTCTTTTGAAGAAGAGCCACACTTGGCTTTCGGGTGCTAGCCTTGGGAAAGCACTGCAATAAATGGTGGATGTGACCATGGGGGAAAAATTACATTAAATGACATTGCATTATGTTTCAGGTAGAATGTAAATGTATTTATTTTATATGAATATAATTTAAATAGGGCCTTGCAGATTTTGAAAGGGATATCTGTGCAAACTGTACTTTGTATACCTCTACAAAGTAAAAAGCACCCCACATCAGTTCAGGAGAGAAGAGAAATTGCATTACTTCACTCAACAAAGTAACTTCTGCATATATACACTTATATGTTGGTGTTGGTATTCAAAGTGGATCAACCAAACTGAAGCAAAGTGACATGCTTTTGTAAGGTCCTTTCCCACACTGGGGCAACATTATACATTATTATAAGCAAAGATTCTCCTTCAAGCAGATTATCTACAATCTGCACACCCACAGATAAAATTATGATTTTCTAACTGCATTTTCAACATTCTCTCCATTCTAACAAGTCAAACGTGATTGTTTTTGGATATTGTGTTAGAAAATGACACTCACCGTAAAAAACAAAAATGGCAGGTAGTATATAGAGAGTTGAGCCAGGGCAGAAGTAGAAATCTTTGATGGCCAGACGTTGCTTTTAACATTTTGTTTTAGCCGGAAAGCCACAGTTGATACAATTATACAAACAGGGTGAGTGATGATTATGTGCCATCAAGTTTATTGTAGGACTTGCACTATAGTTCTAATAGGTTTCCTATCTTGAAATGATGACAAATCATGCCACAAATTCTCAGAGATAATGGCCTGAGGCAACTCTGGTAGTTGCAAAGAGAGCCCTTAGGGTCCATAGATAGCCTGAAGCCGCAGGTGACCCATTTCTGTTGTACGTAGCTGGTAAAAAAACATGAGCAGAAGTAATTTAATAATTTTTTCCATCATTCATTGCTGTTTAATTTAGTTTATTTTTATTCCAAGCTTTGTGCAAGATTTCTCAGAATGGTGAAGCCTAGAGTACCTCTGGTCCTGTTTTTCTGAGAGAAGTCCTAAAACCCAACTAATTTTTCATTTCCTATTCAAAAAGAAACACTCAGTCTGAATTATTAATAAGAGGTAATTACTAGGTTAAAACCAGCAAAACAGCAACAATACAAAAAGGCTAAACAAACAATAAACGAACAAAGCAGCATCAGCATCTGCAAGTTGGTTTCCAACAGGGAGGGGGCTGTCCTTTTTGAGGCAACTCATCCTGCATGGAATGGAACATGCTTTGTAACAGTAATTGCTGCTTAGCAGGGAGCACAAAGCCACTGTGATGGCCAGGCCTGCTAAAAATACCAGCAGCTTGGTCTTTCTGCTTTAGTTGGGTTCAGTAGAGCAGCAACACCTGTTATCCAAGTCCCTGAACTCCAAGCATTTTCCATTTTAGAAGAGAATATATGCATCTTTGAAGTGTGCAGTTTGGTGCTGAGTTTGGTTGTTTACTTGCAGACATTTCATTACTGGATTAGGTAATATTATTTAGTCAGGTAATGAAACATCTGCAAGCAAGCAAGCAAGCTTGGAGCGCAAAGAAAACTTCACGTTTCCCATTTCCCCCCATTCTATAGAAAGAATTCAATGCCTCTTTGTTAATTTTTTTTTTATGTATACACATGTGCATGTTTCTGAGCTCACTTTATTTTGGTGTTGATGGAACTCTGGGGCAAAGAATACAATTATCTCCAAGGATGAAGATAAATTTTGGTTTGAAACAATTCCACGGGCCTTGTCATGAAACGTGCATACATTTGTCATCTTTTAATGATCCTACAGTATGTAATACAAAAAAAATCAGTAGTCAGAATGACCTAACAGAATTCTAGCAGGGGGAATGATATCATGGCTCAGTAGCTGAACACTCCTTTGTTCTCTAGCATCTTCCAGGGAGACCTGGAAGGGACTATCTGAAACTTTGTGGAGCTGCTGTTAGCCAGAACAGATTCTCTTTGGCTAGATAGATCTCCAAGGCACCATTCTGTATCCTCTGAGGAATGGTTTGCAAATCCATAAGTTTTCTTTTTTAAAAAATGCATTATTTCCTATCTGGTTTGGAATTATTATAAAAATTAAAGTTATAAGTTTATGCAAATTTCTTTGAGAGCCAGTTCAGTCAGCTGGCAACTTACTTGTAAATAAACATGTTTAACCCTGCACATTGTATTTTAATTAAACTGAGGACTTTTTAAAGGAAACCTGACTGAGAATTGGGAGTGGCTGGGTGTTGAGCTCAAGGGCTCAGTTAAACGTGAAGGGGAAGGGGCTATAGGGCTTGGCAGCCATATTTCTTTTTCTTGTTTGTCTAGTGTACACTACACTAGGTAGATTCTAAAATGCAATTAGTAGGTTGATCATTACCTTCTATTCCCCTTTCCAACTTTCTATCTTAAAATTCAGTCCCAGTACAACAGAATATGTTAAAGCCTGTTTAAAAAACTGGTTTTAAATATCCAATAATCAGGAGTTTAGCTGTATGGGTGGATAAATATACACACGTGAACTAGTATCAAACAAACAAGCTTGAATTATCTCTGTCAGACTCAGCATAGTGCAGGGGTAGGCAACCTTGGCTCTTTTATGACTCGTGGACTTCAACTCCCAGAATTCCTGAGCCAGCATAGCTGGCTCAGGAATTCTGGGAGTTGAAGTCCACGAGTCATAAAAGAGCCAAGGTTGCCTACCCCTGGCATAGTGCATTGAGACTTGTGTCAGTACATGAGGGAACCTTTCACAAAGCCAGATTCTCAATCCAGGGTTTGTTTTTGTTTCAACGCTCCAAAAGGAACCCGTCTAGGCCTCTTGCCACTGAGACGAAGCAGTTAAACGGGGCAGAGTTTAAAGGGGCAAGCAGCTCTTTCCCTGCTCTGTGATATGCCAGCCAGCGGGTGACGCAAGGGCTGGAGACTCCAACTCAACGCCCAAGGTGCACCTGCGTAAAAGGCGCTAGCGGCGGAGGCACAGCCGTAAGACTACTACCCGAGCAGCCGTCTCTTCTCGAGGCAGCCGCCCAATCTTCCCAGAGCGGCTCCTGCGGTAGCTGCCAGCAGTCACACGAACGCACGCCCCAGCGGCCGCCGTTGCCGCCGCCTTCTTTCCTCTCTTCTTTTCCCCCCCCACCCCTCCCCATACCGCATCCTCCGGTTTTGACTGCTGAGCTAATCCGCCCCGCGACCTAGCTAGAATGTCGTCGCCGCCGCCGGATCTCCAGAGCTCCGAGGAGCATCGGGCTGGGGACGGCGCGGAAGATGACAGTACAGCCGGAGCGTCTCCAAGGCGCTGGGAAGGCGAAGGCGCGCAGGCACCGGCACCGGCATTCAGCGCCGCCGAGCAACCGCCGCCCGTTGCCATGGCAACTGCATCTACAGGTAAAAGGCGAGGTACCGAAAGATGCTAAACAAAGGGCTGCGCGTCTCCTGCGCCCATTCCAACGCTAAGGGCGGTACAGAATAGGAGCCTCGGCAAGAGATGGAGAGGAAATTTGGTTTCCTTCCAAAGTTCTCCTTTGGCTCCTAGCGCTCCTTCTGATTCATAATCATGCATTTTAGCCTTTAATACGGATTTTCAGTGCGTTATCAGGTGTAATGTTTTAGCTGGAAACCTTAACATCCTCTCATTTGTCCACTGTTGTGTGTTCTGTGAATGGATAGAAGTCATTTCTGAGACATCATTGTGTACTTACGTTTTATTTAAATCTAGTTTATTTGCGTGAATTGGCTTGTACTGAGATTGGGGTACTTTTTGTTCCCCTGGGATATGGCTACTTTCCCTTTGCTCAAATGATTTTTATGTGTATTTATTTTCTCTTTTACATTGTTGACTGTGTGTGCTAGATTTCTATAGATTGCAAATAGACTGTTGGTCTGTACTTTTATTCTGGACCTTGCAGATGGCCCTCCTCCAAGTCTGAAATTTAAAATTTAAAGATTTGCTGTACATTTTTCATAGTAACAGAGTTGTCTTTAACCAAATGATTTTTCTGTGCCAAGCCTTAAATGCTTATTCTGTTTTTAATTTCCACCTGCCAAGAAACAGATTTATGCCCCTTATGCAACCTTGCAGTACTGAACTTGTATGAAGCAAGTTGAGGAGTGGGAGTGGCTGGGAGAAATGATGGGATCTGGTCAGGCAATATCCATTCACTACCTTAGGAACTATATTGGTGGGCTGAGTTTTCCTCTTCCTGACCTCATTCTGCTAAGGATGCTTAACTGTGAAGGAAATACACAATTAGCTAAGTGCTGTGCTGACCATCTACACATTGGGGGAAAAGCCCACAACATGATTTTATAAAAAATGATTTCCTCTTTTCATCCATTCTTTGTGCTTATTCTGAATATAACACTGAAGTAAAACCTATGCATTGATGTGGAGAGATGTTCAACTGTTGGATGAGATGAATGGCCATGTAAGATGCCAAATTAATTTGCTTTGAGAATAGATTTCTTTTTCTTTTTTAAAAAAGTTGTTTGGTAGCCTCTAATTAGAAATCAGATTCCACAATGAAGAGGAAGGGGAGGTGGCAAGTATATTAAGGAAAAAAGAGATCTTTAGATGGATTTCATGGAAGGGTAATTGCTGGAGGGATGGGGATGGAAAGGTCAGAGAAATATCTAATGAATATTCTCTTGCATCAGAAAACACAACACTATCAAAGCCTATAAGAAACCAGGGGAGGTGGTTTTGTAATCTCAGCCTCAATCTCTACAATCTTTTTTTAATTTTGTTAATGCATTAAAATGTTACAAGGTTTTGCAGTACTTTAAAGACTAATAAATGTGTTTTTGGCACAAGGCTCTTTGCTATTTGTGCTGCAACAGATTAACACAACTACCTTTCATCCCAAAATGATTGCTTTCATCCCTCTGATTAAAACTTTCTAAATGGATTTTAAGGAAAGCATTTAAAAGAGACTTATCTTTCAGCCCTTTTGGGCACTGCTTCTTCAAAGCAATTTGTTTAGAAAATTCTTTATTATATATGAACTAAATCTGAAAACTGGAGATAACAGGAGTAATCATTTCATTACTTCTATTTAAATCAGTGTCTTTTTTAAAAGCCTCATCGTTTGTTGGTTGTATTTCTTTCTTACTTAGCAGCATGGTTATATGTTTACAGGATTAGAAGGTTGGGATGTTGTTTTGTTGCTGCGTTTCTAGGCCTATAGCACTTAAAACATGCATTCCAATATCTCTAAGTACTATCAGAATATATCAATATTTTCTTGCACTTGGAAGAATAGAATAAACTAATTTGTTCCATATCCAAATGTAATAATTCATACTATAGTTCCTATTACTAGTCCAAAATCCATTGGAGTTGCACAGACAACAAATTTAAATTCTCTGGAGAAATGTTCATCTTTGTAAACAAACTTTTTAAAAAATTGCTTTTTGAAAGTATTTCACATGCAAGCTATCTCATGATATGAACCATTTACTAATGTTTGGTATTATAAAATGATAGAAAGGTAGTTTCTATCACTTTAGAATATCATGTACTTACATACTTGCATATACACATGATAACATATGCAAGGGATGGTGGTGGTATTCCAAATATTAAACCATTTTTTAAAAATAACAGAAGTTGCTCTGAGCATAATAGTTTAGAATTATGCTTCAATAAATTTAATAGTGTTTAAAAGTAAAGTTTTTTTTTCATACTGAAGCTCTAGTAAAGTAAATTATTCCATTACAGAGCTGATGGTGATTACATCTATTGTGCTTATGGAAGATTTATCCTTTTTCATAAATAATCCATGCAGAGCTGTATCCCAAGCACAGCACCTAGACTGCATGCAAGCATTTCTAGTTTAAAGGCCCTGGTTAAACTGTTTTCCCCATAGTGGTCAGTATCAATCTCTCAAGTGTTGATGGAGTTATCCAAGAGGGCGATAAATGCCTGGGTGTCAAAAGGAGGTCAGTAAGTGGCTGCATGTCAATAGATGTTTAATAGCTGATAGAAGATTGATTGGGATCAATTAAACTTTGGAGATCTTTGTAGAACTCCATTTCAATCCCTACTCCTGAAGATGGGTGACTAATGGTAAGACAATATTACCAAGGGTTGGACAGTCAGCCACAGTGAGACTGGTCTTCTTATTGTTGTTAGGCACGCAACAATGTGGCATCACAGCTGCCAGTTCTTTAGCTGGTGTTGGGCCTTGATTGCATTAGTTCAAATAGCTAATGGTCTTCATATACACTGACTTCTTCCCAAGCATCTAGGATGCTGTAATGTATTGACATAGTATATGTGGGGATCCAAGCAGTGTGGTCTTTTGTAATTGACAAATGGAAATATTATTACTATTATATGAGCAATCTACAATTAGATTCCCAATCAAAGACAGATGAAAAGTTAATAATTCAAGTTCTGGATTTTAAAGTCCCATGAGATCTTAACCTACTCATCCAAACGCTAAATCTAATTCTGCTTACCTTTTCAAGATTAATAAAGAACAGTGAGGTAGGCACTATGCATAATATTCTCAGTATTTTGATGGGAAATTTTCCCATCAGCTGCTCTTTTTCTTAACTAAGAAACTGAAATTTTTTTTTGTCACAGACCATGCTCAGAATTATGAGGAGAAATACCTTTATTTTAAAGGTATTTAAAGGGGCATGCATTTGGAAAGGATATTTAAAAGTACTGAATCCCTAAAATAAGTTGTAAAGTTATAAAAAATGTATTTGCTCCAATCAGTAAGCAGGGAGTTTGTTGTCAGTTTACAATGCTTGTTTTAGAGTACTGGCTTAGCAAGTCTAAGGTTTCATACTATATGATTTTTAATATTATATCCCTTAGTAATTCTTAAGTGTGACAGTATTAATGAACAGATGTGAAACACGTTAATATTTCTCAGACATTTTCTTCAGTCTGCAACTGAAAGCTTGGAGGTGTGTGGCTGATATTACATCTCTGGAATTACATAAGTCCATAATTATGTGAGTTCTTTAGAACTGTTGTAGGAAGATTTGCTTGGCATGGATTAAAACAGCATGGATTCACTCTGATTAATACTACTGATTAATACTACTTCAACTGTGCATTTATTTCAAGAGCAGATCTCATTGCTCAAAAACAGGCAAACCCTTTAGCAATAAGCAGTATTTCATGATTTCATTCAGTGTTGCAGGAACCTCCCTCCACATTTTTAAAAAATATTAATTTTAAAGAATTTAAAATGATCAAAAATGCAATTCCATCCCAAAATTTGCGTGACCTGACTAATTCATAAGATTTTAATATTTATTTTTTAAAATTAGATTTTTTTAAAAAAACAACATAATCCCTATGTTTTGAGAATTTTGACTGTGAAACAGATTTATATAGAATTGCCCTCTGTTGCAGTTTTATATCTAAAATCTATAGTATATGCTAAATAACTTTGGAAGGAGAAATGACCCAAACAGCTTTCTCCTGTGCATGTTCATTTGAGAAAAATACACCCTCAGTATAAAAGTAAAGACTGTGATAAATTTGGGCAGTGTTGGGCTTCAGGGTTAGTGATTTAAGGTCTAGAGTCGACAACAGATTTCCCAACATTTCTGCAGCACCTGTGCCTAGCATTTTCAGAGGCAAGGTGGTCTGCTATATAGACCGCTGGCAACTGAGCAGAACTGATTGGGCTCCTGCCTTTGTAATCTGGTGTCCTGATTTCTGATTGGTCATTAGCTGAGATGGTTTCCAATTGGTGTAGGTTGGTAATTGATTGGTTCTTTGTTTGTGCCCAATCTTAAAAAGTTGTTCTGGGTGGTGTTGGTTCCTGATTGGTCCATGCCAGCTTTTGATTGGTCATTCTTGGAATGCTGATTCCTGATTAGCTTGTTGTGTGGGGTTCTGGTTGATTAGTCTGAACAGATGAGTCCTGATTGTGTTCTTGTCCAGGCATGTTTCTGATTTGCCCATTTTGGGGAGCTGATTCCTGTTGCTCTTGTTTGGGGCAGGATCTTGGTGTGGTGCAGGACAGGTAATCAGGCTTTGTTAACCTTCATACTTTCTTCTTTTTGTTGAAGCTGTTAGGATGTTTGTGGATTTCAACCAATTTTTGTGCAGGTATATGTAATATAGTAGTTTGATGTTGTTGACAACATCTGTGTGTGTTGTTTTCTAAAATGGGCAGCCATACAGATCTTTTAAATGAAATAAATAATTTTCTGATCTTTCCCTTAGAGAAGCCTTCTGTAGGTCTCCATCATTAATAGTAAAATAATTGAAAGTTAGTGACAGCCTTTTTGCTTGTATGTCCCATTCTATGTATATGGGAGTATATCCTCATGCTATGTGTATTAATGTAGCCCTTAATATAAACCCCTATCAGGAGTTCTTGTAGAGCAGCCACTGTCACACAAATGTAATTAAC